GGGAGGAGTAAGGTAGACAGGTGGTGCTCATAGGCCACTAAGATGAGGAGTCGAGACCTCTTTCTAGAAGAATCATCCTTCCGTTGAGAGGGTTCGCAGGTAAGGCTGCATAGGATGCAGGCAAGGTGGCGGCGGAGAGGGTAGGAGTTGAGAAGATTGCTTTAAATCTTTTTACGAGATTTTTTCTGAGAGGGAGAGTGGGTTTAGCGGAACGGGGATGAAGCGGGAGTGGGTAGGGTTTCCGATGGCCTCCGTGAGAAGTGAGAACAGGGAACTGGCAGGGCATCTAGCTGCTGGCCAGCCCGACGTCCCTGTCGAAGGTTGAGGCATCACCGTGTGGTGGCCCCAACCTGCCCACCAGCAAGGATGTCCCCCTCAGCGGCATCCACGCGTTGGGCAAGGAGAGAGATTCTGGGGGCTTGGCAGGTTGGCGACGGGCCCAGCAGAGGCAGGCCTCCAGGGGGCTGAGAGCAGAGTTGGCTCATTGCTCCTGCTGGCATGCCCTGCCACCCCTCCCAGCTGCTGACGACCATGCACCCCTGAATTTCTGCCATAGCCGCTTTGCCCTGACTCCAGTCTCACTCAGCTCAGGGCATCTGTACAGGGCTGGCATAGAGTAGGCACCTGGGGATGGCTTTTGAGTGAAGGAACAAATTTCCTTTGACAAGCATGCAAAGATAATGTTTCAGGACTTCGGAATGTTCACACTACTCATCCTGCAGGTAGAGTTCGCACCTTGGGGGCTGCGGCTGTACTTCCATGGCCTGTGAATTCTCTGACAGCGGAGACAAGTTTTGTTTGTGTTCTGGTAATGGGGGAGGCACTTCCAGATCATCGGAGGGGGCCCACTGTGTGTCGGAAGGCTTTGCCCCGACTCTTGTGACCTGGCGGGGCTGGGTGTGCTGCTTTTAAGGCTGCCGAGGAAGGAGCAGAGCTCGTCTGAACACTCGCTGAGGCCAAGGTCAGAGCTGGCGAAGGCCTGGCTCGCTCTGTGCAGGAGAGAGTCAGACACGCAGAGGCGGCTGTCGTGGAGCCCGCGGGGATATGGGCCTCTCCGCAGGGCCCACCACCCAGAGCCAGGCCTGTCGCAGTTGGCTGTTTGGGTCGGCCACTCATTCTTGTCTCTTTAAAGCAATGTTTATTTGAACTTCAATGGTTTTCAGGGTTGTGTATGTGCGCGTAGTAGACCAACTTAGGTTTCTACAGTTATACAAAGGCTTAAGATGGAAACGCTATCTCATTTCACATTTGTATGTGTTTAAGTAACAAAAGTAGTTTGGTTGGGGGTGAGAGATGGCGCTTTTGGAGGCTTCTTTTTTTTTCTTTTTGTGAGAATTATGTTTTCTTTAAAGGGGTCTGTGTAGCACTGCCGCATCCTGCCGTGAGGATGAGTGTCGGGCACATCCACACTGTTTGTGTTGTCGAGCCCGACTGTTTCAAAGGCGCTGTTCTGGTTGTGGACGTCAGCCATTGTGTTTGTGTTCTCAGACGTGTGGTTAAAGGTGAGTCTTGCGTGTCACACCAAGGGGCCAGGTTTCTCACAGTTACTGTCTATAAGGCGTACAGTCCCAGTTTAAACCGGCCATTTAAGAGTTTGCTAATCTTATCTGAATGTTTGCCCCGGTGTGTCTTGGTTCCTGACACAAAGCCCTACAGCTCCTTTGTAATGAACTTCACAGGAGCAGTTGCTGACATTTGTCGCTACTGCCCAGAATGGTCCGATTGAGAGGACAGAACTTGGGACAGCCTCAGAAAGATGA